TATGTCTTGCATAATACTAGGCATAACTGTGGAAAACAGCCAGTTCCATTGCGCCGAGTGAAGTGAATTGTAGATATTGCGAATTGTGCGTGATGTTCTGAAGAGACGCTGTTATGCTTCGAATGCCGGCAGCTTGCCGCAGGACGTGTGCAGCGCGTCTGTATTGTCCTCCAGAATGGTTCCATCGTACGTATTGATTGATCAAGAAAGGGGTTGGTGGGTTACAAAGTCTAGTACAGAGTATATACCAACTGTGCACTTGCAGAACCAGTCAACAAAAGTCCAGGTTGAAATGCCAGTTTTCTGACCCACGGTTTTGTTAATTTGAGAAAATATGTGCCAAAAAAATCGGGGTTAGTCCTGGACATTTTCTCAATTTCCGTTAGGTACACACACACACACACACGCACGCACGCACGCACGCACGCACGCACGCACGCACGCACGCACGCACGCACCGCACACACACACACACACGCGCACGCACGCACGCACGCACGCACGCACGCAAGCACATATATATGTGTGTATATATATATATATCTATATCTATATCTATATATATCTATATCTATGTCTATATATATCTATATATATAGTCATATATGCTAGCCTTTGGCATTACTTTCATTCAGAAACTAGTGTCACATTCATTCAGTTTCAATAATAACATTCAAATTTCCGCGGCGCACTTTCTTTTTCAACTTTCACGGTGAGTCTAGAAAGCTAAAGCTGACTGATAACAATCTCTGGTGAGAGCCGTGCTCTTCCCTCGCCCCCCCCCCCCCCCCCCACCCCGTTATGCTGTGGCGATGCATGGAAAAAATAGATTGCAACATTGTTTCTGCCACCCTCACTTTTGATGACGTCCCTCTGCCCATGCACTAGACCCCCGTGAGGCACCACCGAACCGTAATTGGGGAGGAAAGTATTGACGAAGGCGATGAGCCCGCCCTGGACACCGCTCCCGAGAGCCGCAGACGGACATCAGTCCGTCCCCTTGCCGGTGATGGCGCGAAGCGGGCTCCACTCTGGTTTGTGGCGCCCACGGAAGGCGCCTGTCCCAGGTCCTGTCCCAATGTGTCGTAAAAATCCATCCAAATCCAAATCCAAAAATCTGAAACCGTCTGTCGCAAGGTCCAGCCGTCGGACAGTAGGATGGGCGCCGAATCCTAACTTTAAAACGGTTTACGTGTGCTTAACACTGGACGCAGCACGCACATTGCAGTACTGTCTGGTAACATCTCTGTCACCGACCTCTCTGCATGCACTTTGTCACGCGCTACACCCTTTTCCGGGAGGAAGGCCACTGCCCGAGCGGAAGTGACCACTTCCCCACCTGGGTTACTTGAGACGTTCCCTGGTCGGGACTCAGGCCGCCTCGTTGGGATCCTCGAAGGGCCGGCTGGGAGAAGTTTTCCACTGAGTGCAGCATGGCTATCGCACCAAAGGGCGGGGCAAGCGCGCAGCTTCCGGCGCAGACTCCACGTGAAAAGAAGCAAACGTTTGAAATTGATCGCAATGGCCTTGAGGCGTCATTATCGTGCTGTCGAGGTGACAGACCGACGTCTGACGGACGTCTGCCGTCATTATCGGAATTATGATGTATTGAAGTAAGATTATGAGATGTGCCTGCAATGTTGCTGTTTTATTGTCATCGTCCGTATTGATGTCTGCCGATTCAAGATTAAACTTTTAATAAATTTACGTTGTATTTGCATCTAAAACTTACGTACTGTTAGGACGGCAGACCTCCCTCTTTCCACGCTCTCCCCTCCCCCCCCCCCCCCCCCCCCCCCTCCGCCCTCGCAGTCATCTGTCTCTGAGCATTTCCTGGCAAATCAGAGGGAAAGGAGTTGAGTGCCTCATAGTTGTCATGATATTTAAAGGGAAGAAAATTTAGGCTCCTTGATTTCTTTTGTAAAAGTCGACTTGTACAGCGAACTAACAGGAAATGACTTCGAGACCTGGCAAGGCTAAAAATTAACCTGACTATGAATAATGCATGCCGCTCACTCCTTCATACTTGTACAGGTCCTGATGTCACGCCTGATGTCAAGCCAGATCTGCTGACATTGTCACCTTCACAAGTGGATGTCTTCAGTGCTGTCGGTGGCTCAACTGAGGTATTAGGTACGAATTGAGAGGCAGTTTTGAAAAGCGGTCGTATGGATTGGCATCAGTATCACCGTGAAGGAGAACTACACTTATTTTTCCTTTGGCAAACGGAACGCCGTCAGGGATGACGGCTACCTGTTGTTCGGGTCGTACGCAGTACGCAGTACGCAGTACGTACGCAGTCAGTCTATTACACCTGCGCTGGTGATACGCCATTCGCTTGCGTTCATCGTAAGGCATAGGCGGTCTCTTTCTCCCCCGGTCCAGTCGAAGTGGCTGTAAAACATGTGGCACACATGATTTCTGGTCATCTGCGATGCTGCTTTTTCAGACGCTCCTCATGATATGAAGCCCGATCCTTTGGCATTGTCGGCTTCAGATAAGGATCTACTGAAGGCAGCTAATGGCTTCCCATCTCGCACGGCAGGTATGCGTCCTTACCATAGTCCGTTGATGCGGCGATTGGTGCCCGTTGATGTCACGATTCGTGCTGACGTAATCCAGCCACAAATAAGTCACTGTCAAAGTTTCATTGACCCTGAGTATACTTTACCCCATGAGGACGCCAGATAGGTTCGATTGTATGGTGTCGTAATTTCTAGTCGGCTTGAAATGAGGCGGCGCGAAAAAAGCACAAGCTCGAAAGGATTTGAAGTGTTCAGAAGGTCATTACTCTAGTGGTTGGCATGGTTCTGGAATGGCTCTTAGTTCGGCCGCTAGCTCTTCCATTGGAATGAACCTCTGTTCCTGAGCGGTGAGGTGTAAGAATGCCTGCGATCTCAACATTGCAGAGACCGTAAGACAATTTCGGAGCCAAGATAATGATTGATCCGTCCATTCCAAAGTTGAATCTGCAGGTTGTATGTTATCGACATAAATGATATATGCTATTTCTTTGAGGTTTTTGCAACAGTGTTCTAAGCAGTACTTCGCAACATATGGCTGTACGCAACAGGTAAAGAATTCAAGTTAGACTTGGTACAAGGGCGCAGTCACCTCTATAAAAGGTCCAAATTTGGTCAAGAGCGGTGACTGTGTCCGTGCTCAATGTCACGGCAATGCAACTTTGTATACCCTCCGTTAACTTTACATAAGCAACGCACCTGAAGGAATGGCGGAAATCGGCGCTTATGGTGTAACTCTAGGCCTTTGTTTCAGATACTGTTCTCTTGTGTTGTGAATACTGCAAGTTCGAACGTTCCGATCAAGATGGTGTCTCTGAGCAAGTAAAATGCCAGCACCAAGACACGCTTAGCTCGGCCTTTCCGGATGAACGCAACGTTTCAAACAAACACTGCGTTCAGAGTCAGAGTGAAAAGTCTGACCGCTCGATGAAGTCAACATTTTGCGACACTTTGTTCGAGCGAAGCGATACCCTCGCGTTGGATGTTCGGATCCACACAGGCCAAAAGCCGACTGATCACGGTAACCACGCCGACAGCAAGCCGCTCATGTGTAAAGTCTGTGGGAAGGTATTGGGATGCCGTTGTATTTTGGCCGAACGCAGTCGGACGCACACTGGTGAAAAGCTTTCCAATTGTGAGATCTGTGGAAAGGCGTTCAGTCGGCATGGCAATCTCGCTAACCACCTCCGGACTCACACAGGTGAGAAACCGCTCAGTCGTGAGGCCTCTGGGAAAGCGCTCGGTCAACATGGGGGCCGCACTCACCACCTTCGCGCTGGCACAGGTGAAAAACCGTTCAGGTGTGAGGTCTGTGAGGGAGCGTTCCGTTTCCATGGGAACCTTACTCGCCACCTCCGGACTCACAAACGCAAAAAACCGTTGAGTTGTGAGTTCTGCGGGAAAACGTTCAATCATCGTGGGAGCCTCACTCGCCATCTCCGGACTCACACAGGTGAAACACCATTTAGTTGCGAGGTCTGTGGGAAATCGTTTAATCGACGTTGGTGCCTCACTCACCACCTCCGGACTCACACAGGTGAAAAACCGTTCAGTTGCAAGGTCTGTGGGAACACGTTCAGTCAACAAGGGAGCCTCACTCGTCACCTGCGGACTCACACAGGTGAAAAACCGTTCGGTTGTGAGGTCTGTGGCAGAGCGTTCGGTTACCGTGGGGAGCTCACTTGCCATCTGCGAACTCACTCAGGTGAGAGACCATTTAGTTGTGAGGTCTGTGGGAAATCGTTCAGTCGATATTGGTACCTTCCTTACCACCTCCGGACTCACACAGGTGAAAAACCGTTCGGTTGTAAGGTCTGTGGGAAAGCGTTCAGTCAGCAAGGGAGCCTTACTCGCCACCTCAGGATTCACACAGGTGACAAACCTTTCAGTTGTGAGGTCTGTGGGAAGGCCTTCAATCAGGTATGGATCCTAACAAGACATCTTGGAACACACCGCTGAGAAACCGATGAGTTGTCATGTCTGTGTGAAGGCGTTCAGTACCCATGGAAACCTTATGATGCACATTCGAAGACATGCCAGCTAGAAAATGGTGGAGCTTTACGGTGCACGTCAGTTCCCATTGGTGAAAAATTATCTAGCTATCATAACGCGCGATTTGATATACGGCCAGCGTAACCCCTGGAATGTATCACCAAATCAACTTCTGAACGGCACAATATAGCCGGCTAAAATTTTCTACACTTGTAGTAAACTGAATAGCCGATTTTTGGGTGCCGAAAATTTAGTCGCACTTTGTAAGGTCGCTTCCCTGACAGGTCAAAGTAAGGCTGCGGACGTTATGGAACACAGCTCCCTGGGAATCGTTTTATCCTATGCAACAGCGGAGTGTTAAACGACAGCGTACATCTCAGACGGTTTTGTTGAATACTGTAACTGAATTTGGATTACGACTTATTCCATTGGCCTTAGATCAGATAAGGTCGGGTGCGAGGCGAAAACCAGTTTCGTTTTTTTATTTTTCGAGTTTTTTATTACAGGAAGGCGATTAAAGATGTTGACCATTACCAGGTCTGGAAGTCACTGACCTGGAATGATCCCACTCAAACTTGTTTTTAGGAGCATACCTCGTAGCCTAATCGTTGATGCTACTTGATATTTAAAAGTCAAAAGACGATTGCAAGCTTCTGTTTACTTATTTTGTAAAGGACGAATAAATGTATTGACTTGGAAATAGCATTCCATTTTTGCCAGCAAAATTATCCAGGTTGAAAGTAGTAACATGGGGAGGTCTGAGAGAACTTTCGACACCGCTAATGAGTTTCGCCTTTTTAACCTTATCATGCAGGCCCTATCTGTGTGGGGGAATTTAGTACCTCATTCCCTTAGTTATTGTGGTTTCAGCGGGCAAATCGACCCCTCCCCCACCGAAATGACGTCTTTTTGACGTCATTCTAGCCGCACTAGGGTCATTGACGGAAAACTTGTTGCTACGAGTGATATGCACGCTCACATTCGTGTCCACTTATTTTAGAACGCTGCCCGTGGAGCTTGTCATAACGTATGTCTGTGGAAAGTTTCGATCTCGGTGACGTGAAGGACGTAGATATTGTGAAATATGTGGATGCAGTGAAGTATGGAGTCATTTTGAAATATATAGGTATTGTGAATTATGTAGATGTTTTGAAAAAGATGAATTTGAATCAAGTGTTCCGATCAAGATGGTCTCACGGAGCACGTAAAATGCCAGCCGCAAGAGAAGTTGGTTGGCTCGGCCTTGCCGGACGAAAAGATCGTTTCAAGCAAGCAATGTGTTCAACCTCACCCGATACGTCCGACCGCTCGATGAAGTCGTTCAGGTGTCATGTGTACGCAATATGTTGCCCACGCGAAGCCATATCCTCACGTTGCATGTCTGAATCCACACAGGCCAGAAGCCAACTGACCACGTTTGGAACCATATAGGACGCAAGCCGTTCAGCTGTAGCCGGTGGGATGTTACGGAGACGTAGTTTGATCAGAAGTGGTTGAACGCACGGAGGTGAAAACCGGTTCAGATTCGAGGTCTGTGGGAAAGCGTTAAGATAACGTAGGAGCCCAGCTATTCATCTCCTAAAGACCTACACTTGTCTAGTCTCTTAGCAACGCGCCCGCGAAAATGTGCAAACTGGTTCGGGAAAACCATTTCAAGGCGCCGAAGCATCCATGACACCATAACAGCATTAGTGAGTTTCCGCCATTCTATTGGCCATGCGGTGATCCATGCCAACAAATTGTAAGACTCAAATGCTAATAAAAAAAATGTAGGGGGATCACCATAAAGGGGGCTTTTGTCAACCCTATGTTCCTCCTAGCAAGGCTCTGGCTACCCCCTGCGTACACCCAGAAACAGATCACGTCATTGTGGACGACGAAATACCCGCTCGTGGAATTTCGGCTGCCCAGGACAGGCAACGTTGAAATGGACGAATTACCTTGGGAAGCTGGAAAGCCTTATTTCTCGAATGACATAGATGAGTCGGATAGGCAAGCGTGTGCATCAGTGAGAAACAGCTCTAGATGCATATCTAGAATAGCAGTCATTACAATAAAGAGTGATAACCTCCATCTTTACCTCCCCCTCTCCGGGTCCTCGGGCTTGTTTTCCAGAAAAGTTCTTGAGGTACGCCCTGAGATTGCCCCCCCCCACACTTTTTGAAACGTTCCTACACCTATGAACACACATAATGACTTGAAACAATAATAAACAAACGTTAAAGTCGCTAGTTACTCACTCTTCGCGGACGCGTCCCTGGCACTTCGTGGCCTGATCACATGCTGAGAGGCGCCACAATAGCCGCCCACCGCCAATCACCCCGCGGCACCATGAACGCCATCACGAGCGCCATCTCACGCCACCATCTCGCTCACAAGAACGGCGCTCTTTGTTTTGTGCGCCATCTACCACTGAAGCGATGTCATCCCACAGCGGCGATCTTGGAGGACAGGTCCAGGTGAAGCACATGTAGCTCCCGCATGGTCCGATCTAGGCCCTAGGTGGGCTGTTTTTTGGACCCAGTTACCTGCCCGTGATATGCCCACGTGGGACTGAAATGGGCAGCCAAGACTGCCCCATGTGGGTGTCCATCTCTGACCCACATGCAGTCTGGTGGGACAGGCTGACTAGGCTTTGAACACGTGGGGCGGACTCTGCGTGGAGGCTGCTGAGATCACAAGGGAAGCCGTGTTCGGACTGTGCACCCGAAACCTCATTTTGTAATACCGTGACAACAATTTCGGCTCAGAACCAACGCATCGCTGGCTATCCGGTCAAGCTGATCTGGAATTGTAGGTCCAGGATCCAAGGCGGTTTAGACTCCAGGCTGGCCTGGCTGGAAGGCGCTAGCACCCGCGGGTGGATAGCTCAGAAACTTGCGACATCAAAGGCGCAGGCGCAGTAAGCCTTACTGCATGAACCGGACCTGCTGAAGGACCCCACATGCAGACGTGCGAACGATGCAGTTGCAGGGAAGGCTAATTCTTTCGAATCTGCACCGAGAACACTTCTTGTAAAATGGTGTCTTTCGACAGCGTCGACATCTCTGCAGCTTAAAAATAGGTATTCGATTCAGAGTTTATATGCCTATATTCTATTTGCATGCTGCTGTAAAGCCGTTGCTTCGCCAGGCGAAGTCCGCGCAGCGCCCATCGGGTAAATACTCCAATGACGTCATGCTCCGAATCAGTGAATTTGTCTGTACAATCATCGGACGGTTTCACCACCCTTACTCCCACCTGGTTATGGGAGGGCGATTTCGAAACGTCCCTAGCGAAACGATATCGCCTTAGCGAAGCTTTTGTAGCCAACGACCAGCAACATTATTTTCTGATGGGTGAGTGTGCGTTTGATATATCCTGGAATACAGGGCCTTCAGACATATTTTCATCCACATGGCGGGAAGGCTAGGATGCCGGTGCTGGGATGTGGTGATTGGCATGCACGTGTAGGTGTGTAGAATTTCTGTTATGGTAGGTAGGTGCTTAATTATGGTGGTCATGCCCAGCAAACATGCCATTTTTGCATCTTGATTGTATTTCTTTATGTCTTACTTTTCATGCCTGCCATTACAAATTGATTTCAGCTAGTCTGAATTCTAGATGTGAACAACACTTTAAAATATCCATCTTAGATGAAGATATCAGGTGTAGCAGAAGCATGATGGAACAAATTTTAGCGCATGCACACTATTAGTCACTGTCAAAATTTTGTTTCTAAGTTAGAATCAATCTATCCTCATTGCCTATGTGCAATGAAAAGTGGAAAATGTTGGAAAAAATGTGACACCATGGAAAAAGTTGTACAAAATGTGACAGGGAATATAAGTGAAGGTTTTGCATATTTGACCTGGCCTGAATATGAAAACCAGGGGAGTTGGGTTTGCCATGCATAATCATAGTAAGCAAATGATGGGGTGTAGGATTGTACAGAATCTAACTGGATCTAACAGGGTCTGTATAATATTTCTTTGGTAAGGTGTGGATTTTTTGCATGTGCATGCTGCCTGATGGTGTTTTAGGTCTTTGACTTTTGGGCATGTTCCAGTCATTCTTCTTTCCATTTCAAAGTTCCTACCAATTAATCTGATTGTTCCCATGGCTCATCCACTGATGTCCTGGTTTCTTGGAGTTTGGCTCTAACCTACTAAACCTCATACAAAATAAACAGTGTTGTTTATGTTTGCAGGACACTGTTGTGGTGACAAGTGGTGCAGTTCATTCAGTACAACTCTGCGAAGCCTGTAATGATATCCAGTTTTAACACATGCTTGGGTGACTGGCCAGATACCCTTTGCTAGGGTGGGGGTGAATTTTACCCCCTGAGATCTCAGGACCTAAGGGAGCTAGGGACACCAAATTCATAGGGTGGGTTGGCCTGTACTTGACTCACTCAAGTTCAAGTTTGAGGTTCTTAGGCCAAGATGTTCAGGTCAAATAAGGCCAAACAAGGTCAAATTCCAGGTTGGTCTCTGAAGTGCCCTCATAACTTAGATAAATGTTTCTAAGGAAAAGGTCACATGCTGACTTAAGGTCAGTGGCCTTGTTTGACCTTTTGAAGGTCATTGTAACACAAATCATACAAGACTGCTCTGAATTTTGCACTTGAATACACAACAAAGGTAACACCAGGCAATGTGTTTCTAAAGACAAATGTTGACCTGGGTCATTTTAGGTCAATGACCTTTTCTGACATCTAAGAAGACCATGGAAAGTGTATTGTGTGTTTCCTGCCATCAGTAAATTTGAAATGAGCACTAGCAACTATCTCATACAGCAAGCCCTAGAGCAATAAAACAGGTTGGTTTTGACCTTACTCCGACCTTATAAAAAAGTACTGGATGTGTTCAGAACACATGGTTATTACGCATAGTACTTTTGACGCAACAATGTGGGCCGCCTTGAGCCATCGGTGGATACGTCGGTTGCCGTCTGCCGCCCGCGCCGGCCGTGGACCACCATGCAGTATTCCGACAAAAACTTGACTTTTCAGAAATCAGACTGATAGAAAAACATTTTTGATGCCAAAACACACACCATGAATGGCCATAGAATACCGAACCATTCGGCGCGATCGCACGTTCCAGAAAGATATCTTTAAAAACCTCGGAAGTGGGGGGAGGGGGAGGGGGATGGTTAGAGTGCATCGTCCCCTCATTAGCAGGGTCAGGGTTGATGCAATTTATGTGAATCCATATAAAAGTCTGCGATTCTTTATACGACATGGATGTGTCTAAAAGCATCTATTTCGCCATCTCGCTTACATATAAATGGAATGTTTCACGTTTGAGGATACTGAAACAAGCACCAGATAAGATGAAGCAAGCTCATTTGTAACTATATGTATGTATGCTTTTCTTAACTGGTATGCTTCTCGTAACTGGCGAAGACTGCTCAAGACAGTACAATTCGCTGTTTAGTAAATGCGTCCCTCAGTGTGTCATGGTTTGGTTATGTCATGGTACTTCGCTCAAAATTGATTGAGTGGCCGCATGTCGGAGCGGTGTTTGAGGGGGCCCCAAGAGAGGCCGAAGGGTCTCTCAAGACCAAATATCAAGGGCCCGATGGTATGACTGAAGGGTCCGAACGGCTGGCTGTTCGTCACAGCGAACCCCGCCCGCGGGGCCATGATCTTGAATGATCTCTTGCATCGATAGGGACCCCTGAGATAGAGCGTTCCTGTATTTCGGCCAGAGATCACAAACAACGAACAGTCTGCTGCGTGTTGATCCGAGATCAGGGGGCCCATTTCCCAAGCAGGAACAGTGTCGGGCCGCGATTTATATTGGTCGCGCCCCTTTATCGCTCAGGGACCCACAGTGCCTAACAAGGCTTTCTGTGTTAACAAGGGGCCTCAAATCGGCCAGGGGAAGATTGGCTCAACAGGGACGGGGGTGGGAGCCCCAATGGCAAAGTGTCTATTGCGTTGGTCGGGGCTCTGAGAATTGGAAGAAGCATGAGAACTTATGATGAGTGCCCACATTGGGGTAATAGAAAAATCATATGCCAATCATGGTCCCAGTGCGGAGCGGTGGGCCCTCCAATCTTCCAGCATGGGCCCCGTTAAACCCAACCGGGGTCTTTGTGCCAATTATTTGATGACCTGCGTCGAACAGGGATGTTGTGGCGTCGATGATGGTTCATGCGTCGATCCGGAGTCAACTGCGCGGGTAGAAGGTCGCCATGTCAGCGAGTGGACCAATGTGATGTTACGTATCCGTCTGAGAGCCTCCGAATCCGCTGGGGGATGCCGCCCCGTGTCGCCGGAATGACGGAAGGAAAATATACCGCGGTGGGATGGAATGCTGCTTCAGTCCTTCACCGGGAACGAGTGTTCCCCGTAAAATGGTGATGAATGGATTCCTTTATCGGAAAGAAATAAGTAGTCTCATTAGCGTTGAATGGAGGGGGTCGAAATGAGTTCGGCGCGCACAGGGCCATCCCATGTTTCCCTGAAAACGTTCATGATATTGCGCAATCGACGAGCGAAACAAATATGCTGGAAAGGTACCATTGCGGCGTCTGAGACACCGAAGATACGGGGTTCGGTTTCCCGCGGTGCCCGCCGTTTCCGGCTGGGTGAGAGGCTTGCGGCGCCACATGGCCCAAGCAGCTGGTGCGTCACAAAGCCCCAATGGCGCGCCCGTAATCTCGGGGAGTAGTATAGCGGTGGCTTGGGTCGCAGTTTTCGTAAAACCGAACGGCGTTGGCCACTGCAAATAACCCCTGGGGCGAGCGCCGAGCCTGTGATGACCTGGCCATGTTAATACGAAATGTTACCCATTTTGGTTTGAAATCTACATTCACGGAATCCTTGCTGTCTGTCTACAACCCAGATGGAAATTCTGACAAAGTTTTTGAGCTCTATTTGTTTAAAAAGAGTTCACTTAGTCATTGTAACGATAAGAGCACCGGCAATGTATGTTATGCAGTCATTTAACGCCTACATTTGCACTTTATTTACTATAAACTCAAGGCAGAAAGGATCTTGGGGTAGTGTCTGGCCTATATTCCACTTATGGAAGGTAAGAATGTGTAACGTGTATGTGTATATATGAAAGGCATGTCCGCAAAAGCAACATAATAATAATGCGTCGCCCCAACATCTCTGCACAACAACACAGTCCTTTTTGCGGTTCTTTCATTGTGTCCTCGGACTGACTGTGGGTAATGCTGTTTTTTATTTTCTTTTTTGTCAGACACTTATGATATCAAGCCTGATCCGTTGGCATTGTCGGCTACAGATGAGCATCAACTGAAAGGAGGAAATGGCTGCTTATCTACCACGGCAGGTATGAATTTTTAAGTGTCCGTTGATGCGACGATTGCTCCGCGTTGATGTAACGGTTCGCGCGGACGCACTTTAGCGACGAAAAGTCATTGCGATATTGGTCTTCCCCGAACATTATCTGCCCATTGAGGGGACAGAATGTGTGTCTAGTTCATATGGCGTCCTAAATGGCTGGTCGTCTTCAAGTTAGGCGGTACGAAACAGGTTGCAGCCGTTCGCGTGCGCCTAGCACAATATCGAAAGGATTTCAAGTCTTCAAAAGTTAATTGCTATGGTGTGATTGAAATGACCTTGAAAGTGGCTCTTAGCTCCGCCGCTAGCTCCTCCATGGGAATGACCCATCTGTTTCTCAGCCTGGAGTTTCCACTTTTGCAGGGCAGCTTTCCTTCGAATCAAGCATCATTTGGCCGCTGTCTGACGGGGTACTCACGTAACCGCGTGGTCTGTCCGGAGTGTGGACCAAAATAACAACCACCCGATGGGTGTGTCTTTTGGCAGACATGGCATTAAGACTGGGTTCCGGAGCAGGTGTATTCTTTCCTTTTTCGAGTGAGATGTTTAACACAAGTATTTTAGGATAACGTCCAGTCGAAGTGTGTGGTAAAAGTCCGCTTAAACCGGCCGTCGCAATGTTCCAGGCGTCGGACAGAAGAATATAAGCGGAATGCTGGTTTTGAAACGTTTATGTGTGCTGAACACGACGCAACACGCATGCTACATTACCATCTGGTAACAACTCTGTCATCGACCTCTCCGCATGCATTTCAGAACTCGCAATTTGCATTTCTTGGGAGGTGGACCACGGTCCAGGTGGAGGTGACCACTTCCCCCTCCGGCTGACATTAAGATAAGACAAGAGGGAGAAGATTTCCACTGATTGCAGCATGGCTATCGCAACAAGGGCGGGGCAAGAGGGCAGCTCCGGCACAGACTCCAAGTTAGAAAATCAAACGCTTGTTTATCTGTCGGAATAACCTTGATGCGTCAGTATCGCGCCGTCAGTGTGACAGATCGACGTCGGACCGACGTCTACCGTGATTTTCGGAGCCATGATGTTTTGAAGTAAGATGGTAAGATGTTCTGGAAATGTTGCTGTTTTATTGCCATCCCGTATTGGTAGCTGACGCTTCAAGAGTAAATTTTGGGCTAACTTTAAGCTGTATTTGTGTGTAAAAGGTTAACTTATTTTTAGAGTGAATTTAATTAATGTCTGAGATATTAATCACCTCTATAATCATGGAACAGGAGTATTGTGTTGACGTCTCATCATCTTCAGTATATAATGATTATGATAACGATGGTGCTGGTGGCTTGCAGTATGCTGGCACAGCTGCATATCCCAACATATCTGCACAGCAACGCCGTTCTGCCGATTCTTTTCACTGTGAGGACGACGGATCTCCTTTTTCCACGCTCTCTATCCGCCTGCCCCCCCCCCCCTTCCTCCCCCATTAGTCACCTGCCTCGTGGTATTAAAGTCTCCTGTGCATTTCCAGGCGGTTCAGAGGAAAAATAGTTGAGTGCCCCGTAGTTGTTATGAAAAGAAGGGGAAAATTTCGTTTTTTTCTTACCTTTTATAAAAGTGGACTCGTACAATACGTTAATAGAACAGGACTTCAGGACCTGGCTAGGCTTAAAATTAACCTGGCTATGATTAATGGCTACCCTCTCCTCTTTAAGACATGCCAATATTTATATGTTTTCATGCTGTATTCCCTGTGCTAACGGAACTGTTGACCCTAGAGCCATTTTGGCTGTCGCTCACTCCGAATACTTCTGCAGGTCCCGATGTCAAGCCTGATATCAAGCCAGATCCGCTGACACTCTCGCCTGCACAAGTGGATGCCTTCAGCGCGGTCGGTGGCTCGGCTGGGATATTAGGTACGAATTCAGATGAGGTTTTGAAAAGCGGTCGTACGGATCGGCATCAGTATCACCGTGAAGGAGAACTACGCACTATCTTTGGTGTGGCGAACGGAACGTGGTCAGGGATGAAAACTTCCTGTTGCTCGGGTCGTACGCAGTCAGACCAGTACATTTGCGTTCGTAATCCACCATTTGCTTGCATTTATCATGAAGGCAGAGGCGGTCTCTCACTCCCCAAGAAAGTCCAGTCCAGTCCAGCAGAAATGGCTGCAAAACATGTGGCACACATGATGATTTGTGGTCATCTATGATGCTACTTTTTCAGACGCTCCCCATGATATTAAGCCCGATCCTTTGGCATTGTCGGCTTCAGATGAGGATCTACTGAAGGCAGCTAATGGCTTCTCATCTCGCACGGCAGGTATACGTCCTTGACATAGTCCGTTGATGCGGCGACTGCTATCCGTTGATGTCACGATTCGTGCTGACGTACTCCAGCTACAAATAAGTAATTGTCAAAGTTGTCTTGACCCATGATGTAGCATGGCCATTGAGGACGTCCAGTTGGTTCGATTGTATGGTTTCATGCGTCTCTGGTCGGCGAGAAATGAGGCGGCGCGAAAAAGTGCGCCGAGCTCGATTTTGAAAACATTGAAGTCTTCAAAAGGTCGTTATTCTGAAGTGGCTGGAATTTTCCTGAAAATGCTCTTAGTTTGGTCGCTAGCTCTTCCACTGGAATGAACCATCTATTTCTAAGCCTGGAGTTGCCACTACTACAGGGCAGCCTACCCCAATCAATTTCCGCGGGATCGGTCTGAAGCATGAGCCCCAAGTAGCAACAACCCGGTGTGTATGCCTTTTTAGCGGGGATGGTATTAACACTTGGTCCCTGAACAGGTGTGTTGCTTTCTTTCTTCGAGTTTGATGATTAACAACTTCTTTACGATAAGGTATAAGAACGCTGCAATTGCAACAGTGCACACTTAAAAGAATTTCTGAGCCAAGAAAAGTATCCGTCCTTCCATACGAGAGTTGAGTCTGCAGGTTGCATCGTAGCGACATGAATGGTATGTTATTTCTTTAAGATTCTGCAACCGTGTTTTAAAGAGCACTGTGCGACATGTGACCACGCAACCGGTAAAAACATTGAGGTTGAATTTGGTACAAGAGGGCGCAGTCACCTCTATGAAGGGTGCAGATTTTTTCAAGACGCTGTGGATGTCACGTGCAGATGTCACGTGATGTCACGTGTCACGTGTCACGTGGATGTTCGTGCTCGATGTCACGGCAATGCAACGTTGCATGCCCTCCATTAGCTTTACGTTAGCAGTGCGCCTGAAGTAATGGCGAAAGTCGGCGCTCTTGATCTACCGCCACGCCTGTGTTTTCAGATGCTGTTCTCTTTTGTTGTGAGTACCGCAAGTTCGAACGTTCCTATCAAGATGGTGTCTCAGAGCAAGACAAATGCCAGCACCAAGACAAGTCGCTTGGCTCAGCCCTTCCGGATCAACGAATCGTTTCAAACAAACATTGCGCTCAAAGTCAGACTGAAGAGTCTGACCGCTCGATGAAGTCAACATTTTGCAACATTTTATTGGAGCGAAGCGATACCCTCGTGTTGCATGTTCGAATCCACACAGACCGGAAGCCAAATGATCAGGGGAACCAGGCTAACAGCAAGCCGCTCAGTTGTAAAGTCTGTGGGAAGTTACTGAGATGCCGTCGTAGTTTTACCGAACATAGTCGGACGCACACTGGTGAAAAGCTTTCCAATTGTGAGATCTGTGGGAAGCTGTTCAGTCGACCTGGGCACCTTAATCGGCACCTCCGTACTCACACAGGTGAAAATCCGCTCAGGTGTGAGGTCTGTGGGAAGGCGCTCAGTCGGCATCAAACCCTGGATAACCACCTCCGCACTCACACGGGTGAAAAACCGTTTAGTTGTGAGGTCTGTGGGAAAGCGTTCGGTCAGTTTGGAAGCCTTACTCGCCACCTCCGGACTCACACAGGTGAAAAACCGTTTAGTTGTGAGGTCTGTGGGAAGGCGTTCAGTCGACCTCGAACCCTGGATAACCACCTCCGTACTCACACTGGTGAAAAACCGTTTAGTTGTGAGGTCTGTGGGAAGGCGTTCAGTCAACTTGAAAGCCTTAATAAGCACTTGCGTACTCACAGAGGTGAAAAACCGTTCAGATGTGAGGTCTGTGGGAAGGCGTTCAGTCAACATGGAACCCTTAATAGGCACTTCCGTACTCACACAGGTGAAAAACCGTTCAGTTGTAATGTGTGTGGAAAGGCTTTCAGTCAACAATGGGGTCTTACTTGCCACGTCCGTACTCACACAAGTGAAAAGCCGTTCAGGTGTGAGGTCTGTGGGAAGGTTTTCAGGCTGCATGCCAACTTGACTAACCACTTTCGGATCCACACAAATGAAAAACCGTTCAGTTGTAAGATCTGTGAAAAGGCTTTCAGTCTACATTGGGGCCTTACTTGCCACCTCCGGACTCACACAGGTGAAAAACCGTTCAGATGTGAGGTCTGTGGGGAGGCGTTCAGTCAACATGGGTACCTTACTCACCACCTCCGTACTCACACAGGTGAAAAACCGTTCACGTGTGAGGTCTGTGGGAAGGCGTTCAGTCGACATGGAATTCTTTATAACCACCTCCGTACTCACACAGGTAGGGCGCCGTTCAAGTGTGAAGCCTGTGATATGGCCTTTATGCAACGTTGGGGCCTTACTTGCCACCTTCGGACTCACACAGGTGAAAAGTCGTTTAGTTGTGAGATCTGTGGGAAGGCGTTTATTCAACGTGGGGACCTTACTCGCCACCTCCGTACTCACACAGTTGAAAAACCGTTCAGATGTGAGTTCTGTGGAAAAGCGTTCAGTCAACATGAAAGCCTTAATAAGCACTTGCGTACTCACACAGGTGAAAAACCGTTCAGATGTGAGGTCTGTGGGAGGGCGTTCAGTCAACATGAAACCCTTAATAAGCACTTCCGTACTCACACAGGTGAAAAACCGTTCAGATGTGAGGTCTGTGGGAAGGCGTTCAGTCAACATGGAACCCTTGATAGGCACTTCCGTACTCACACAGGTGAAAAACCGTTCAGTTGTAATGTGTGTGGAAAGGCTTTCAGTCAACAAGTGGGGTCTTACTTGCCACCTCCGTACTCACACAAATAAAAAGCCGTTCAGGTGTGAGGTCTGTGGGAAGGCGTTCAGTCGCCACGGAACCCTTAATATTCACCTCCGTAATCACACAGGAGAGGCGCCGTTTAGTGTGAAGTTTGTGACAAGTCGTTCATTCAGATAGGGATTGTGACGAAGCATCTACGGACACGCGCACCGGTGGGAGACCGTTGTGTTCATGTCTGTGGTAAGGCGTTCAGTACCAATAGGAATCTTACGGTGCACATTCGGAGCCATACCAGTTAGAAACCATTCAGTCGTAATATCCGAAATTTACGGCGCACGTTAGTTCACTTCGGTGAAAAATTATTTAGCTATCAACACGCGTCCTGGTGTACGATCAACTTCGCTCTTCGAATGCGTTTGAAATCAACTTCTGAATGGGACAACCTAGCAGCGCTAAACTTTGCGCAATGGTAGCCAACTAAAAAGCCGATCTCTTGCTGCTAAGAAATGCCGTTTGTCGCATTATTTAAGTTATAAAAAATTGTTTAAATAATTATCAAAAAATTAGTGGCACCATGTAACTTCGTATGCCGACATGTTTCATAGTCAGGCTATTGGCGTCATGGAAGACAACTCCGTGGGAATCGTTTAATCCTTGGCTGCAGTGGGGTGTTGCACGACCGCATACATCTCAGAGACTTTTAAATACTGTGACCAAAGTTAGGAATGGGACTAATCCATTGACCTTAGGTCACATAAGGTCAGGTGCGAGGCGAAAACCAGTTTCGTTTGCTACTGGATTCCTTTATTTCTTGGATTGTTTTGGCACCCGTTTCGAGTTTCTTGACTACAGGGAGGCGAACAACTATGTTAACTTCAAAAGGCCTGAAAAAGTAAGTGACCTAGGATGACCCCAATCAAAGTGTTGTGTTTAGGAAAGTTCTTAGCGTAACTCTTGGCGCTACTTAATGTTTGAAAGTTAGAACGATACCGCAGGTTTTTGGTTACTTACCTTGTACAGGCCAAACACGGTCATGAACTTGGAACCAACAACATGGAATCTTTGTTAGAAGGATTATTCAGGTTAAATGTGGTAGTATGGGAAGGGCTGAGGAATCTTTGGACACCACTGATGAGTGGCATTTGATCTTCAGATCATGACCTACTGACCTAAAAGTTTGACCCAAGTGAGCTCTCGTTCACCCCATCTATTTGGTGAATTTATGGTCTCTCACTCCCTCAGTTGTTGAGATCTCACTGGGGAAGGGGGGGGGGGGGGGTGGGGTGGCATTAACCCCTCTCCCACCGAATTGGTGTCGTATTGTGGCATTGGTGCGGTCTTTCGCGCGCGTGTCCATGGCGGAGAACGTGTTGCTGCGACGAGTGATGTGCACGCTCACATTCATGTCCACTTATTCTAGAACGCTGCTCATGGAGCTTGTCACAGCGTATGTCTGCGGAAAGTTTTAATTTATTGTGAAGGATTTGGATATTGTGAAGCATGGAGTCATTTTGAAATATTTCGGTATTGTGAATTATGTAAACGTTTTAAAATAGATTGATTGAAATAGAAGGTCAAGTGTTCCGATCAAGATGGTCTCTCGGAGCACGTAAAATGCCAGCCGCAAGAGAAGCTGGTTGGCTCGGCTTTGCCGGATGATAAGATCGTTTCGAGCAAGCGATGCGTTCAACCTCACCCGATGCGTCTGACCGCCCGATGAAGTCGTTCAGGTGTCATCTGTGCGCAATATGTTACCCACGCGAAGCGATATCCTCACGTTACATGTCTGGACTCCCAATGCAGAAGCCAACTGACCACGTTTGCAACCAGATAGGACGCAAGCCGTTCAGCTGTAGCCGGTGGGATGTTACGGAGACGTAGTTTGACCAGAAGTGGTCGAACGCACGGATGTGAAAACCGGTTCAGATTCGAGGTCTGTGGGAAAGCGTTAAGATAGCATAGGAGCCCTACTATTCATCTCCTAAAGACCTACACTTGTCTGGTCATTGGCCATGCGGTGATATTCCGCCAGGAATTTCCGCCAGGTCAACACATTGTAAGATTCGAAATGCTAATATCTGGCTCATTGGAGCTAAATATGAGCAAATATCAGCTCATTTCCACCAAACAGATCGATCTACAATCTACCTTCGCGATGTCCACATTGTAGAACGCAGATAAAACATGAAAAAGCTTCTGAGTTCCATCGGTTTAGGAGTCCACTAAGTTATGACAAATCAAGGACACCGGTGACTTATTCAACGCTGTCGTTAAACGCCTGATTTCTGCAGTTTATTGACCTTAACACGCGCTCAGGTGGGGGGGGGGGGGGCAAATTGACTCGCCCCACAAAGGGTTTTCCAGAATGGTTTCCGAACGACGCGGCGCGTTCGCGCCATGTTTTGCATAGCTGTAGAAGATTGAATAGCGGATCGTTTAGCATAACACAATCTACATGTACTTTGTAAGGTCGCTGGCCTATGGCAGGTTAAAGGCAGGCCATGGTTTCAGCGAAGTCAACTTCTAGGGAATCGTTCAATCTGATGCAACAATAGAATGTTAGACGAGGCCATACATTCCTGAGATGCTTTCTTAGGCAACACAAATAATGCATGAGCAAATTACGTTGACCTTAGATCAGGTATAAAGGTCAGACAAAGGTCAAAACCAGCCTGTTTTATTACACCAGGGCTTGCTGTATGAGATGGTTTCTGGTGCTCATTTCGACTTTATTGATAGCAGAAACCGCATTATACATCTTCCATGAACTTCTTTAAAGTCAGAATAGATCATTAACCTAAAATGACCTATGTCAGCATTTTGTTTTTAGAAGCATGCTGACTCGCGTGATCTTTGTCGTTTATTCAAATGCAAAACTCAGAGCAGTCCTGTATGATTTTGGTTATCATGACCTTTAAAAGGTCAAACAGGGACACTGACCCTGAATGAACATGTGATGATGGATCACCCATCTTTTGCTTCGGGACTTCAACCCAGAGTTTCTTGCAGCTCACACGTCGCAGGATCAGGCGTGATACAGAACGCCTTCCTTCGATGGTCTAGTAGCCGCACGACTTCAGGCGTGGCAGCTTCCAGGCGAGCCCGCGTCCAGCATGTCCGACCTTCTGGTGACAGTGCGGAATGATCAGTGAGGTTACATGGCTCTTGTTGGGGAGGATTACCGGGTGCACCACTTGTCCCAGGAAGCTGCGTCTTCGAAGCCTCCCCCCCCCCCCCCCGACACAAACCAGTCCGTCTCTCACGATGGGGTGGAGGCGAGAGAGCTCGTTAGGAAACCAGGTTTCTCTGTGATCCTAGTTTTCCATATTTTCTCGGTCCTTTCATTCCTGTAGCGTATGCAGCTCCGACTTATAGTCCCTCTTTTGAAGAGTTCTGAGAACGACCTTCTCTTTTTCAGTCATGTCCTTCGATTTCACTTGAAGTGTTAGCTTGCTCAGTCTGCACCGTGCCTCTCTTCATCACCACGCCATAACAAAGCCTTTTGAAGCATAGCCAGAATCTTGCAATCAGAATCTTGAAAATGAAAACCGACTTCTTGACCTCAGAATCATCATTTCCAACCTCATCGTGCCTCTTGCCCTCGTGAAAGGCTGCACTTGTCAGAAAGGATGGACTGTACCACACCAGATTGTTGCCCACGAGCTCTTCTGCCTTTACTCCTCTAGAAGCGGGATCTGCCGGGTTCTCCTCCGCCACAATATGTCTCCACTGAGTTCGGTATGGTCACGTACCTGCGGCACGCGGTTTGCCACATAGACGTGGAGTGAACTCGCTTTGTTCAATATGTACCCTAGTACTATCTTGTCTGTCTAAAATAATTATTTTACGTTCGACAATCTCAGCTCAGCTTGAAGAAAATGACGCCTGATCTTCACGGAGAGCACAGCAGCTGTCAGCTCAAGCCTCGGTATGGTTATCAACTCGGTCAGTGCGACACGAAACTCTCATCACCAGTGAACAGTTCACCAGCCCGTTCCTTTCCACTGTGCTCAGGTAACTACACTGTCTATAGCCGACTGAGCTGACAAAAATGATGCAGTTCAATTGTCATCCCGCTCTGCAGCCCACCCTGCACGTAGCATCATGGAACGCTGACGTTATTCAAGGCCATCATGCTTGCTCTTCACGTCTCCTGCGCTCTTGCCACGTCATCTGGTATGGGCTCGTCCCACATAAGGCCTTCGCGGCACAAATCTCCCAGGAGTAGCTTGCCCTCCATCACGAAAGGAGAGATGAGGCCCAGCGGCCAAACACGGAACCCACCACCGACAAGATGCCTCTCCTGTTCAATGCTTGACACTTGGCTTTACCGGGATGGAGAACATGTCATTTTCTGTGTTCCACTCCACTCCCAGTGTCTGTTGAACGGGGAGGCTGTTGGAACCAATACCCAATCTCCGCAGTCCTGAACAGCGACTCTGCCGACACAAAATTCACATCAATGTTGTTCGAGATAATCTTGTGAACTTTGAATCCTTCGCATTGGCATAGGCTTGTGGTCGCACCAATCAAACGCACCGCTATATCTGCATCTTAAACAGATGCGAGACCGTCGTCGATATTGAAATCGTTTTTACGAAGTCGGCGGCTTCCTTTTCGCTACCATTATGATAGCCTTCAGCTGCAGCTCTCGGCGCAAACATTGCGCACGCGGGAGATGTTGCACCAAAAAGTCTTCAAAAAGTCCAAAAAGTCTTGAGTCTTCACCCTGTTCTCATTTGGGTGCTTGCCCAGGTCGCCGTCTTTCCATCTCAGCAAGCGCAGGACGTTGTGATTTCTGACATTTACGACGGCCTGGTTGGACATAGCCTCAAAGTCACAGGAGGTCGCCTCGGGCTGCTTACGGAAACGACACAGGATTCTGGTGGGGCTGTCACGTCAGGGCCCTGCAAGAGGTAGCTGTTCAACACGCGGCCTTCGAACCCGGCACTGCAGTCGAAAACGACACGGATCTTGTTGGCATTCCCCGGGGGATAGACTGCGTGGGGAGAGGATGCCCGGCTGTTGTCCAGCTGACCCGGCTGACCCGGGTCAGCCGGGTGACCCGGCTGGCTGTTGTCGAGCTTCAGCTCGTCACTGGGGACTTACGTATACCCCTTTACCACGGCCGTTTCTATCAATCCAGCATAGTCATGGCGATAGGACTCAGTTCTCACGAGGTTCGAATTCAGTCCTTTCACTCGTTGCGTTGCCACGGTCTTGTTGTTTGGCAGGGATGTCTTGTCATTTATCAGTAGAGGCGGCATCTCAAAATGCTCATCTTGCCGTTGCCACCTTACCGCTGACATCTTCTTCACGAGCCGCCGGTCCTGGATCGACAAGCCCGTCCTGTTCTCGCGTCTAGTCTCCTGAAAATCTGACTCAAGCAGTTGCATCGTTCCCATTGTCACGCGCCTGAGACTGGGAGGTAAAGTAGCAACGTTTTTGGCGACCGCCCCTTCCCCCCCCCCCTCCCCCCACCTGTGTCCACCAGATGGCACGTTGCTTCGGCTTCGCTGCTTCCAGATAGGCGCCCCACCCCAAACGTGTTCTGCCAGTCCGGGGTTCGTCGTCTTGACCACAAACAGCCTCCAGGGGCCTAACTGCACGCGAGCTGTCCATACCAAGGAGCAGGGCCACTGGTGCTTCTTGGAAGAACACTGACATCTTGTCAGCAATCCCTACCAGGTGCTTCCACTTCAGGTCCGTCTCTCTTTTGGTGATACTTCTCTTGGAGCATGGGATCCCAGGACGAGTATACGCTGATGGCAGCTTGATGGCGTCATCTGCCGTCAGTGGCTGAACCAGCCAACTTTCAACTGCTTCACTGTCAATGCCGCACTTGTCTGCCATGGTGCTCAGCTCCAGCTTCGTCGTTCTACCTTCCACATTCAGAGTTTCACAGACTGACTCGGGCACAAAACATAAATCTGACTGAGCATCAAGTAGGCCATGCACTAGCAGTTGATGCCGAGAGTTGTTGGCTTGACTTAGTAATGCAGGCAGAACCAGTAAGTGAATGCAACTTTCTCCTTTAGTGGGAGCAGAAGGACGTAGCCTGCGGCGCGCTGTCAATCATCTGTCCCCCATCTGCGTGAGTCTCCAGTTTTCTCACAAATGATTCACTAAGCAGCCCTGTGGGATGCCATCTGCCACATTCATCACACTTGGCCTTTGAACGACATTCCCTCCACCTGTGTCCTCTCCTCAGGCAACCTCTACACAGGCCCAGCTGGTTGATTACGTGGTCGCGCTCACCAACAGTCTTCCTCTTAAATGTGTCCTAGCCCTTGATTTCATGTTGTTTTTGACACAACACACAAGTGGAGGCTCTTCTTGTGTCCTCAACTTCAGTTAAGGACATGGAAGTTCTGGCCTTGCTTTGTTTCATGCTCTGTGGAGCAGTTCGCCTTTCTTCATGCGTAGGTAGATCCACCGGCCCACAGGCTCTGGCCTCGTTTTATCGGGGTCGCCGTGCCCCCTCGCCCGCGTCCCCGGGTTGATCGGATCCTGGTGGCTGAGGGATGTGTCGTGCGGGTCAGTCGCGGTGCGTCCGAACACTCCACTTTGGCCAGAATTTCCGGGGG